CGAATGTAGTCGGGGTGTCCGTCACGTTGCGCCATGTCTAGGAAGTGCTCGATAAAGTACATGATATTGGCACGTATGTTCATATTGTTCTGCTATCTTGTGTCAATGCCGAGTCCACTGAGATAAAATGGTCCGACTTACTCGTTCAAGCTGTTCCAGGATGCACGAATGCAAGTCCTCATCCATGTCTCTGAATCTAAGCGCATATTGTGCGGCTTTCTGAGCAGATGTAACTGACGCGTTGAGATGTTGAAGTTGAGATGTGAAGCGCATTCGCACTTCAAATGGGTCGGCCATGTCGAGAGCGCAGTGAGTTGGTTGTGCAAAGGGGAAAATTTCAAACCGATGTTCTATCGGAAGGCCGGAAGATTCGAGATACAAAGCACGGCTTGAGAGTATCACAACCAAAGCGAAGGCAGGGGGAATGAACAACAGAAAGCGTTGGTACGAATTGTTTAGCTGGATTAGGTGGTAGGTGAGAAGCCCAGATAATTTGTCGATGAGGTTGATAGTGGGTCTGTAAGGGAAAGGAGCTGTGCCACGTTGTGGCCGTGCGAAGAAGTGAGTTTGATATCTTGAAACCGGCGGGAATAACCAGGTCTCACCGTTCCCGCAACATTTCTTTTTCTTTTCCAGCTTTGTCCCTCCTCCACAGGGAAGAAATCGATCCGGCCCGGACAAGCCGAAGGTGTAACGCATGAGTCTAACCATAAGAGGATTCCGGTGAAGACCTGTCGCGTGAAAGGGCTTCTGTTGAAGCCCTGAAGCATGCTCAGGGGCCTCAGATTCACGAATTACCTCACTTCACAGGGGTTCACTTACACGGTCCAGGCTAGGCTTTGGGCTTTGGGCTTGTCTGGGAAGTCGGAACCCAATGGGAGGCTACTGAATGGTTCTTATCTCCTGACATGGTGAGACTTTGCCTGACGGCAATTTGCTTCGTCACTTTTCTCGGTGAATAGCACCCGTTTGGAGAGTTTGTACATAGAAGTATCAACGGGCGTGAGTCTCAAACTTACCCCTTATTTTCGACACATTCCGTTTTTGCTTCGTCTTGACTGTGTGGCCAGGATGCGCATTGGGCAGCAAAAGCACTTTACTTTACGTTACCCGGTAAAGTTCAGTCTTTTGCGCGCATTTGCTTCTCAGTACGGAGTAAACAGGTAATACCTACTTAGTATTTGTTTATAAGTAGAATTTTCCCACATAAATATGGTTCCATTTCCCCAGCCTTTTTAGTTATCTTTCTTATTTTCAATTCCGTTTTCCCCCATTGCTTCCTCCACTAAACCACTTGGGCCCCGTCCTTGACTCAGGTAGCATCTCCTCTATGTCAAAGTTTTCCCCTCCTCGCTATAAAACTTTTGAATAACAAGTGCTTTTTCCTTTCGTTTACTGCAAAATACCATGTCTCCCAACACAATGGCTCTCACGCCCTATGGCTCAAACGGCAGTACGGACCTCACAATGGCTGTTCTTGGTTGTGGTAAGTCGAAAGAAATACCCTTGGTGCCAGATGCAGATTGTCCTTCTTTTGAGGGCGACGCTATACATTTCTGCGGGTGTTGTATTACGCAGTTTTCATCTGCTAACAAATCCAAGGAACTATGGGAGTTGCTATTCTCAGTGGTATCTTAAACTCACTGGCTGAGATGCAAGGACCTAAGCCCCTCCAGTCCCTCCCTAGATCAGGAGCCTCAACTCCTGGCGATGAGGTGCCTGAACGACTACCCTCACGCTTCGTTGCCAGCGTTGCTACTGCTGCGGGCGCCAAGCGTGTCAAGGGCGCTCTTTGGGAGCATTCCTCCATTCTCAAGGTTGTCCATAACGACAACATTGGTGCCGTTCAGCAGGCTGAGGTTGTTCTGCTAACTTGCAAGCCATGGATGGTTAAAGAGATCCTTAGCGAGCCTGGCATTTCAAAAGCCCTGCACGGCAAACTTCTCATCAGCGTTTGTGCTGGTATCACAGTGGAGGACATTGAAATCGCTCTCCACGGTGCTGTCCCCTCCAAGGATCCAGAGGAGGATGGTCGATGCCGCATTGTCCGGGCCATGTGCAACACAGCTGCCGTGATCCGTGAGTCGATGACCGTTATCGCTTCTCCTAGTTCTCCCCTCGACCATGCCACCGAGAGCCTCGTTACCTGGATCTTCAGGCGCATTGGTGATGTTGTCTACCTTCCTACGCGACATATGGATGCCTCAACAGCTCTGTGTGCTTCAGGTCCCGCTTTCTTCGCTCTGGTGCTGGAAGCTGCCATCGATGGCGCTGTTGCTATGGGCATTCCCCGTGCCGATGCTCAGCGCATGGCTACTCAGTCTATGAGGGGCACTGCTGGCCTTGTCCAAAGTGGCGAGCATCCTGCTCTTCTCCGGGAGAAGGTTTGCACATCCGGTGGCTGCACTATCGGTGGCGTCTTGGTTCTTGAGGAGGGTAGAGTCCGTGGCTCCGTCTCGAGAGCTGTACGTGAGGCCGCTGTTGTGGCCGGTCAGATTGGAAAGGGGGTTGACGGTGTAAATGGCACCAGATTTCCTGGTGCACGTTATGAATGAGTGGATCATGGCCACAATGATCGGTCAGAACTTCCCAGGAAGTCCTGGCAACCATCATATACATATTCCCTACCTATCTCAGACCCCGAAGTAGTCTCAGACTTTCAATCACTAGAATCAGCCTACGAACCGAAAACAAAGTCCAAAGAGGTCGAGCATACGGTATGGGAAAGAAGACAAAATCCTAACATTGTCTTCTATCTTAGACTCGATAGTACTTGGCAATTTTTGCTGCAGACCTTTGGGAGTTCATTATTCTCGCCTCTGTAAGTATGATCGGCTTATTTGTTTGCATGGCATGGCATGGCACAGCATAGTCTAGGTTTCACTGGATATAGGTGTAATGGTTTGATTTATACACAAGATAGTACATTTTCCTTCGTCCAGTATTCCCAACGCCTAGCTAACCCGGTCATTCGGTTAAGCGTCAAGAAATTAAAATACATAAACACCTAAAAATTCTCAACGCGAGCTTTCTTGCTACCAGGATCCTGCTCGGTCTCCTCTGCGCCTAGCTTTCGCTTGCCATTCGCCACTGGTTGGTTTTGAGAGTGCTTCACTGAACGTTCCAAGGCAGCGAGGATACGCGCATACTCTAGTCCAACACCCTGCAGAGTATCATCAAGCTTGTCAACACGCTCATGAGGTTCGATTTGAGATAGGACATCTTTGTTGTGACGGTACAGTCGCTGTTTAACAATCAGGCTCCAGATCTTGCCCTGGTGCTTGTCGGCTTGTGTAGCTTCTGGCTTGTCTCCATCAATGTCCATTGTCGGTCGTACTGATTTGGGAAGTTGAGACATGAGATGCATTTCTAGGACCCGGCCAAACTGGCGAGGTGCAATCTTAGCCTGAAGTCGGATAGTCTCAAGCTTGTCACTGCCAACAACCAGTTTTGGCAGAGTTCCCTTCTTGGGAAGGGTAACGTCTGTATCAAGTCGCAGGTCATTGAAGTCGGGCATCGTGCGGAGGAATTGCAAATCGCAGATGTCTCGCAAGTCATCGAAGGCTTCGTTTGGGTCCTCCACAGTGAACTCGTAGGTCTGTGGAATCTTATGGTAGTGCTCGAAGATGGTCTTGTAGAGCCTTGCGCCGTTACCTTTGCCCTGGAAAGGGGGTAAAATAACGAATTGAGATAGTCTTGTTCGGGAGGGTAACTCGGCGAGGTCCACCTCACCCTTTGGCAGCTCCCACTCATCGCTTCGCGGCGATGCCGGGGGCGTGGGCGGCTGGAAATAGTAAAATCGGTAGATGGTCGAGTAGCCTACAAACACATATGAGGTCTTGTCCGCCACCTTTCGCTTCTGGTAAAGGGCAAAGAATGTCCATCGATCGGCATCGGAGAGATCAAGCTCTGTCGAGTCCATCTCGGGATCTTGGCCGATATAAGTGCCACCTTCGATGAAAAAAGGAACAAATATCTGCAAGCGGCTGTTGAGTTGCTGGATAGTTGGGTCGGCGAGGTTTCCACGCCAGATTTCGTACTCGCCATCAGGACTATCGAAGGTCGCATGGAGGGTTCCCGGCGGTACCCAGTTATCGCCAATTAGCTTTGAGCTCTCTTCGAAATCGCTTGCTGTGGCAAAGGCGACTAGGTAGGTGCTGTTAGTATTTCTCCTTGCGCGTTCAAGGAAGAGTCACGTACTTTTAGGCAAATGATTGCCTTCCCTAAGAAGAGCTGCCACATCTGTAGGCTCAGGTCCTCCATCAACGTTGAATTTCTTGCTGTAGGATGTCTTCAAGTGCGGTCGCATATCGTTTGCGCGAAACCGCAGGCTGACCTTGAGATCTCTGTAGCCAAAGATCTGTTCCTCCTCGCCAAAAATCGAGTATGTGTGTCGGGGGTTAAATGTAGCCAGATGTTGAAGGCCAGATTCGGAGGGAGACACCAGGCTGATATGGATCGCCTCGTTGGCGTTGGCAAGCCCTCAATAAATGTCAGTATTTGGGAGATCAAGTTGTGACAGCCGCCAGACTTACACTCTTCGATGTTTGCCATTTTGAGTGCTTGCTATTAACGAAAGTGAGAGAAAATGGCCGATCAGAAACACAATGCGACCTGGTCTAACGAAGTCCTGAAAAAGATGGAATCCAAGTCGCGATGCGCTCGAGTTGTGAATGGTTGTCGTTGTCTGGGTGAAGGGGTCCACCAAAACGCGACTTTACGCGATTCAATTAAATCCATGCGCCAACACCAGTCAGTCTTCGCGTCCAATTTTCCAGGCCAATCTACCCCAAAACCCTGTGGGTGCCTTATAGGGGAAATGACGTAACCATGAAAAGGTACGTACCCCAAGGCTAAGTCCGAACGGTCCTTGTACCCCTGGCTATCGCATGTCACTCACTCAAGTCTCAGTCAATCGAACCAAACCATCTTTAGAACTCGGACTTTCGCTTCAACTTTATCCTTACAAATTTGTGCACCATGCGCTTCGACTTCTTAAAATGCTACACATAACGAGCAGTTCTTCGCCGGTTGGCTCTGCCATCTTCTCGTGCATCGCTTTAGTTGTCATATCCCTCGTCGTTCTCCTTATTCTACGATACTATCTCCCGCTACGAACGACACCAGCCTTTTATCTCATTCCCATCTTCTTCGCCTTATGGCTACCAACCATTGTCGTGATCCTCGTTCCGGTCGATCTTGCCTCGAGCGCAGTTACTGGTGATGAAGACTCAAGGGGGATATGGCTCCCTGAGCGAGTCATACTTGTTTCATGGCGCATTTCATATTGGTTAACATTTGCGTTGACATGGTATGACGGTTTGGTGTACTACATCGCGGTGGAGGCTAACCAGTATATACAGGTTTATTCTTCCGATCCTTGCTGAATACTCCGACTCTGGATACCGAGAACCATACGACAAGTTCATGTACTCGGTTCGTAGCAATGCCCAGTTTCACGCCATCGTCTTAGGTTTTGGTTTCGTAGGGCTCATTTACTATGTCATCTCCTCCGGCTTCTCCTTGAAGGTCGACGTTATTAAGGGCACTATTATGGCTCTCGCATACTGCTGGGGATTAATTCTCGCCATCTATCTCATGGGCCACGGCTTGGTGTCGATACCTCGACGACTCATGCGCGGCGCAAGCATCAGCGGACGACTACGGCGACTCCAGAGCAAGGCGCCCAAGGTTTATGAAGAGATGGAGGACTCGATTACCAAACTTGAGGATATTGAGGTTCAGGTTGCGGAGCTTGGCCGACGCAAGACAGGAAGCGCAAACACATACCGAGACTGGATCGAAGAACTGCAAGAAATGGCCAATCTTCCCGAGTCGCAACCCCGAGGCACCCGGTTTGGTTCCAGCTCCGATAACAATATTATTCCACATGTCATCACCGAAAAGTATCTCGCCGATCTCACTAGGAAGTATGTGCGCGCCAGACACGCTCGATCTCGATATGTCAATGCTTGGAGTGACCTCGTTCAAGAAGCTGCTGAAGCGCAAGCGATCCTGGACTCGGCAGCATCGAAAAAGCTCGACTTTGGTGAGGTATCACCTCATGCGACTTTTTGGGAAAAGACCGCCATCCTGACACCATATACTCGATACCTCTACTATTATCAAATCTTGCCTTATGCTCAAGTCCTTCTCGGTTTATTCTTGGCAGCAGCGTCGGCTTGTATTGTCTGGTCTGAGGTCGTCAAGTTTGCATTCCCCAAGCTTTCTATCATCAGATTAACTGTGGTTCATCATTGGGTTGGCGATAAGCCTGAAGTCGGCTTCGCTGGACAGGCCATCTCGTCATTCTGGATCTGCTACATGTGTGCAGCGGCACTCATTTCGATGACCGAGGTCAAAGTCTGGCGAGGTCGAGCCCTCGTTCGACGAAACACGGCTCATGAGTCCGCTTTCTGGTATGCGATGCAGGTGGCCAAACTGACTATTCCTATCTCTTACAATTTCATCACCTTCCTTTCGAGCCAGGTCTATAACAAGACTGTATTTTATCACTTTCTCGGACAGCTCATCGACTTTACACCACTGGGTCGTTATTTTGACGACCTCTTTCCTGTGGTCGTACTATTCCCTGTCTTTGCTACCCTTTTTGGCATTTACGGTCGGGTCAAACGAATCTTTGTTGGTATGGATGTAATGGACGACGAAGAGGAGAATGGCACCACTTATGGTACTGGCTCCTGGCGGGAAGGTCGAGATCTCATCTCTCGTGAACTTGGTGGAAACACCCTCTTTCATCGCAGAGAAGATGCACTTGCTAGAATAGGGGCTGCTGGAACAGTTGGTGGTAGATCTGCTCCAATATTGTCTATACCATCTGCCCATGGCGCCGCTTCTTCACCTGCACGGTCTCCAGCTCGAGCTCCAGCTGCGAATGCCTGCCGTGGTCCAGAACATCGCTATGGTGCGAACTGGAACGACGAGCCGCCCGAAGACGATAACCTCTTTACCATCATCGGCCACCGTATGAAAAACACCATGGATGGTATCGAAGCCCCTAAATGGTTTAACGATATCAAGAAGCCAAAGTGGATGGGTGGCGATGATGATACGGCAGGGGCTGGATCATCAAGCTCGGGACCTGATTTCCGTAGGTGGTTCGGTGGTTCCAGCGAAGGCCAGATCCGTATCTAGCCACATCATTTCTATGCATGGGCGGCGCAAGGTCTTTCAGGGAAAAGCAAGAACTCTTTTATTTTGTATTGTGTTTTTGTACTGTCCCATCTTCCTTACTAGAGTCGGTATGGATGAACCGTCGTGGAGTTGAAGGATTAATTGGGGTTTGATTGACATGTTCATGCGTGAGTCGTCTCTTATCATAATTCGGACGGACATGAGGAAACGGACTAGGTGCTACTTGGACATCATGGGGGCAGCTACTGATACCGTCATAAGACGCTCACATTTTAACGGATCATGTTTTTATACGCAAATATATATCTAATGCATCGTATTCGTTCAAATTTGATTTTTTCCTTGAGGTGAAGTCGTCCATATCGTCACAAATGGCGTTAAAGTGTTCATGAGTCGTGAATCGCCTGTAAGCCCAGAATTTCCACAGCACCATCAAAATTTCGAGCAATATATTCCCTTCCTCTTCCTCATGGCTTCGGGGGTGGGCTGACAGTGTTCCAGGTATTGGCTTTGCTCATTGTCCGCTTCCTAAGGGCAAACATGATCTCCTTTTCCATCTTATCGATATTCTTCTCCAGGTCTGCGTCGTCCTTTTTGTGCTGCTCTTGGCGACGTTTGTCAATGAACGTCCACGCCCCGACTATCAGCGCCGTTACGGGAACCGTTATGGCAAAGTATACCCAAAGCTCAACAGAAATGACAGGGTCGGCATCTACGTCAGCAGATTAGCAAGGCCAATAGATAATGGAGAACCATAGCAAACCTTTTCCAAAGTCGAAGAATGTCATGCTGAATACGGATGCCAGATATGTTCCAGGTAAAAATAGGGCACCCATTAGCGACAATGTCTTCATAGCCGTGCTGTCTCGCTTGCTAGCATGGGCTATTCGCCTCTGCTCTCCTGCAATTTCAAGATTCAATCTTGCTTCACGCTGTGACATGATATTATAGAGCTATCCAGAAATCAGTAACATCAGGCGACAAGTTTGAGGGTGACTGACCGCTTCCCGCTGAACCTTGAGTCTCTCGAGAGTTGTATGAATGTAGTTCTCCAAGCCTTTGAGCTTGACTTTGTAAAAGTCCAAACGAGATGCCATACTTCGATGCAACTTTTGGATTTCCTTGCGGTGCTTTCTTTCAGCTTCAATTTGCTCCTCGGCCGCAGGAGCCAGTGTCATCCAAGCAAACTGAAAGGTTTCCATGGCCTTTTCCATCTCTTTGACCAGTGCTTCATATGCTTGGGGTCGTTTCCACATGACATTGCCATGACACTCAACCAGATCACGACTTAGACCGTCGATATCGATAAATCCATTTTGAAAGTACTGTTCCTGCTCCTCAACTTCATTGCGCAAACTCACGGCATTTTCGAGACGGCGAAGCCAGTGCCGAGCCTTTCGTTGTTTCTCGTCATTTTCGGGGGATAGATCATACGTGAGGATGATGATGGGGAGTAACATGGGGTGTCCAACTTGGTTAGCACATGCTTTGAGATGAGTCAAGGACTTTTCAACTTCTGAGCTGGGGGTGCCTTTGATGAAGCCGGTGGTGACTCCGGTCTTTAGGGAATGTGAGAGAAGCATCTCCCAGCCTCGTGTTCTCCCTTTCTTGAGAACATCTGATTTACGGTGGACAATTTCTGGTGGGATGTCAGGTGGTGAAGCTCAGGAGCCAGCCCAGGGGGGAGAAGCTCACGCAAATGAGGCTCGTCTTCATCCTGGTCGTGAGCAGACCAGAAAAAAGGGCCAACTACTGAAGTCGTTTCGATTCCCCGATATGGCAAGTTCAAGGTGCGAACCATGGAACTGTATCTATCCGGCGGAAGTGAGATAACCTTTGGGAGAAACGTATCGGGATGCTTGGCGTTCTTTTGAACTCTTGGCAGCGGTGTTAGTGGACTCTATCTCGATGTTTTGCGACGTTGGATCTCACATTATTCGCACACCACTGAGAAGCTTAGTGCCAGACCTCAGATGATCTGGCGGCGCAAAGGCACCCTGTCCTTGTCAATTGAGTCCTGTGATTTGAGATACTTTGCAGTGTAAGGCATTGACTTACCCTTCGATGAAGAAAGTTGTCAAATTCATCATCGGGCAAGGGGTGCTCCTCGCAGACATCATAGAACGGATCCTAGTGAGCGTATTAGCAAGCATTGTTCTCTTGATACAAAGTCTAGTTGAGACACAACCTACCGAGTAATTGAAGACCTGGACATAGCTGGTCTCTTCTTTGACAACGCGGCACTGGTCAACGTAATATCGAAACAAATAGTCCTCCATTACGACCACGATGCAAGAACCCGAGCTCAGATGCTGCGTGTGCGACAGATATAGAAGTATTTCTTCTGTATAGTAGGTAGTAGGTAGGTTATTCAGAAGGCGGGTGTTTAAGATCTCTCACGTTGGACCCAATGTACTAAAAAAAAAAGCCACCTCCACTGGATTCGCTGCCTGTCTTGGTCCTTGCAGGTCGCTAGTCAAAGCTTGGCGGTGGGCTTTTTGGGGGACTCGATCAAGAGGTGAATGTACAATTTGTTATAAGAGAGAAGAAAACGTAGAAGCAAAAGAATCGGTGAGGTTATAAGGTACAAGGCTAGTAGGGATTGTGACTACTACTAACCTAGGTACCTACCTACGGATACTCAGGTGCCTTGCCCAGGTATTGGATGAGGCTGAATCAAATGTCAGACAGTGTGACAAGAAATGGACATCGGCTCTGGCCTGTCGGAAATAAGATCAAGGTTCAGAGGAATCAATTGAAAGGGAAAAGTGTTCGCTTGTCTTGTCAAAGCCGGTATTACCTTATCATCGGATCCCAACCCCGCGATATTTTCCAAATTTTGTGTGAAAAGGATAGCAAAGTCAAACACTTTCTTTCATAACGGTCCGTCCCTTCTGAGATTGATGGCGGCCGCTCCCAAAATCCCAACCCCAGCTTTACTTAGCGCCACTAAAAAGAGGAACCCGAACCCGTTCTTTAGTGGCTGAGTGGAGAAACGAAACTTGCCCGCTAGGGTGGGCCTCAGGGAGCAAGAAAACACAGGAGCTCAATATATGGTGTCAAAATAAACTCAACAAAGAGTCCCCTAAGCTTAGGCTAGATTTACCTAAGCATTTTTATCGCTTAGGCCAAGGTCCTGCGTTTTCTTTCCTCCCCTAGTGGAAAGATGAAGAATTGTAAAGGAAACGTCATAGCAACTATGGTAGACTGAAAATATCGATGGAATTGTGCATATTCATCAATTGGTCACCAAAACGTACTAGAGATATTCTGGGCACCTGAGTATAAGGATGCCGTAGTACGGGTGTCCATTCAAGGCTATTCTGTGACCTGGGCTACTTGCATAGGATGATATGTTGCCCTGGCTTTCCAAATTGAGCTCATCAACCAACAGCCAACCAACTCTCTCTCCAATCCGGGAGCCTTCTTTTTCATCACCGCATTCCTACAATTGCGTGAAACATGAACCAACGGCAAATAACACAGTTCCAGCATCTCATATCCAAGAGGAAAGCGCACCAGCATGAACGCCCACCCAAAGCTGACTGCACCAAGAGAGGTTTGTTTCCAACCTAATCATACAAGTGCATCCATTACTCGCTCTGAAGCACTTTCTTAAAACTCCGTAAACATGTGACCGTACCTGCAAAGGGTTAGTTTGGCCAATTCATAATGGAGATGGCAAATGATCACTCACTCATCTGGTGCCGTAACCACTCCGTACTTCTCGGGATCCTCAGGGTAACGATCGAATTGACTCGCGTCTCCGGCACCCGCCTTGACTGGTGGCGTGTAGGGCGCGTCAATGTCCTTCCTGGCTAATCGATCCCAGGTGACTTCAGCGAACCAAGGATGGTTCTTCACGTCATCTGGGCCTCCGTAGAGGTTACCTAATCGCTTTGTGAGGTCGGCTGTGATCAGACGCTCAAGAAGATTTTGAGCGTCCGCGTTGACGTATGCCGGATATTTAACTTTGCCCTTGAGAATGTTTTCGTAGATCTTCATGGGAGATCCACTATCCCAGAAGGGGGTGTAACCGCATAGCATTTCATATATCAGGATACCCAAGGACCACCTTGTACGCCAAACATGTTAGTCCATTTCTGTTGTGTCGCCAGTTGCAACTTACCAATCCACGGATTTGTTGTAGCCTTTGTTAGAGACCACTTCAGGAGCTAGGTAATCCGGAGTACCACACAGAGTCCATGTCTTGTCAGGCACTCGCTTCGCGAAACCGAAATCTGTAATCTTAAGATGGCCATGCCGATCAAGTAGCAAATTTTCTGGCTTGAGATCACGGTATATAATGTTCTTTGAATGGAGGTATTCCAAAGCTAAAGTGACCTCCGCGGCGTAGAATTTGGCAACAGGGTTAGGGAAACGCTGCAGTGTGTTAGTCAGGTCAATTGGGGGGTTTTCTTTTTTGGAAAGCATCATATAAAACTTACTCCCGACTTCCTCAGAAGTGAAAATAGCTCTCCACCTTCAACGAAATCCATCACCATGTAGAGGTTCTTCGGATCCTGGAACGTGCCCCAGAGGGTAATAAGGAAAGGGTGTTTGACGTCAGCTAGCATGCGACGTTCGTCATTGGTATGTTCGACTTGCTTCATTTTGACCACCTGGGCCTTCTTGAGCACCTTGACCGCATAGAAACGCTGGTTGTGCTTCGATTGGACTAAATGTACTCGGCCGAAGCTACCAGTTCCAAGCGTCCTCAAGATATCGAAGTCACCCAACGAGTATTTTCCCTTTGTTACGCGCATGACTGAACCAGTGCTAGCGTTCTGTTGATGGTGCGGCTGGTGTTGGTACTGTTGTTGCTGTTGCGCTTGATTCTGACTCTGGTTCTGCTGGTGTTGTTGCTGCGCCTGCGACTGTTGCTGTTGCGGAGGCATACTCGGCTGTGGCAGAGCTTGCTGCTGCTGTTGTTGGAGGGCTGCGGGATCAGTTCCGGGACTGACGGTCTGCGGTCGATGGCTATCTATCGTGGCGGCTAGGTACTGCGGGTTGGTCTGGCCGTTGTTGTAGGAATTGCCCTGTGCATTGTGCTGCTGCTGTTGCTGGGGCGGGTTGATGAGGTTATTGATGCTGGGTAGGTTCTGATGATCGTGATTCATAGGACTGCCCGCACCGTATGAGGGTTGATGGAGGTTAATTGCGCTCATATCTTCTTGTTGCTGTCCGTCCGTAGCTGCTGTCGTCTGCTCATTCGGCGCAGAGGATTGATTCGATTGAGACACGGCACCTTCCTGAATCTGGTCTGGCTGCTGCTGGCTCTGGCCGTTGGTTGGTTGGGCACTTGGTGCTGAGGTTGATTGCCTGCTTGTTCGAGGCAGGTGAAAAGCTTTAGAGATGGACTTGGACCTGGAAGTGGTAGGAGTAACTGGACTAGTTGGACTTGAAGCAGAAGGATCAGAGTTGCCCTCTCTGGTCCGCTTTTTCTTGAGAAACCCCAGTGAAGGCATAGGGTAGTGATAGTGTGACGACAGAAAGAGAGGGGGGGAGAATTGCGAGAGAAGCGGGGAGGGGATAAGATAGGTAGGTAGGTAGGTAGGTAGTGTGTAGGAGTGGTGGTGGTTGCGGCAGAATGGACCCAAAGATGAGGAAACACTCTGGGCAGATCGATCGAACGGAACGGAACAGGTCAGTTTACCCAGCCTAGCTTCTCAGCTTGCTTGGTTTTGTGGTGGGCTTGTGGTGGATGTGGATGGATCCAATTGTGGGATATCCGGTTGAATTATGCCTTACTGAGAACTCTCCGATTAATTGACAACAGGATGACAGATACGGAGAGATAATAGACAGAGAGAGGGACAGATGGATGAGACAGCAAAGTTGGAAGGATTTGAGCACGTTTGCTTCTCCTGGACCAGCAAGAGGTCAGTGAGCTCGTCTGGTGCAACCTACTAGCCCGAGCTAACCTTGCAATTGCAGCTCTTTCAAGTTCAGGTACAGCAACGGAATAGTGGGGAGAGGCTGGAGGCTGACGTGACGTGCTGGTCTCGGTCTGGTCTGGTCTGGTCTCCTCAAGATCGGCTTGTCTTTCTGTGGGGGAGCTCTCTTTCAGCTCGCTCAGATGTTAGGTTAGGTAATAAACAACGGTATCCAGAGGCATGGGCCTAACAAGCATGCATGGATAGGACAGGGAGGATAAAGACAATGCTCGGTGGTGAGAACCTGGGCTTTGTCTTTTCCCTACTTTTGGTTTCGTGAGTGAACAAAGGATTTGGACTCTTGGCGCATTCTACCCGAGGCCGGCAATTGGATGACTGATACTATTCCTTGGCTCTCTCTGGTGGCTGGCAAAGGTGGAGGGATAGGATACGAATAGCCAAAGATCCCTCGTTTGAGACTTTCCGTACGTTGGACGATGCTTTTGGTTTTGATTTTTAGCCGTTTAGGCAGCCAAGTCAAAACTGAGCCCGTCTAGTTGTGAGTGAGGTCAAAGTCTTTGCACAAAACAATGGGATATAAACGATTGTGAAGGCAGGGCAAGCCAGGGCAGGACACCTTAAGCAGGCTAGTAACGGTACAAGGTTTAAGCAGGCTGGTGATGATGTAGTAGTTGGAGCTTCGCCCACAACGAAAGTTGCCCCTCTTTTATGATCGGATCAACGATTGCACACAGGGGGGACTGATACTGATACTGATACTGATAGGCACACAATGATGCCGCGAGTTGTTGTTGCCGCGGGTTTCTTCGCTCTTGTGAGCTCGCTTGCGGTGCCTTGTGTCGGTTCGTGTCCAAAAAGAGGCGCCCAACTTGTCAAGACGATATCTCTTTAGCGGCAATTGGTTGACTGATCTGCAGCTCTAGCATGTAACTAGTAGCTCATAGCAGCCGTGCGTATGGCAAGAATGACACGGGCTGGGTCAGAGCATAGAGAGCAATGCGATGATGCCGATGTTTTTAGTAGACTTGGGTGAAAGTGGAAATACCAAGGACAAAGAGCCGCGAGTACTCGGCGAGACGTTTAGTAGCGTGCACAAGACCAGATAGTGCACGAGTGACGACAATTGAGTCTGGCAATAAGGTGGGATTGGTTGACGATGAGGATGACGATGATGGAGATGGACATGAAATATGTAGAAGATCAAATTCAAGTGAGATGAAAGGAACAAGACGCAGATTGGTTAGATCCAAACAAGATGAGCTGAGTGAGGAAAAGTCGAGACTGCTGGGAGGGTTGGCGCCCTGTCTGAGAGGGATTTCACTAGGTCGGATTGGAATGGAAGGGAGAGAGCTCAGCAAAGACAAAAAGACACAAGTAGGATCCGGTCGGTTATTGGGTGTTTCAAAAGCTGACATCAGGAGCTACAGCGAAAATAATAACAGCCCAGCACAATGGAGTACTGTAAGGCATAGAGCTGATGAAACTACTATCTTGAGATTGGACGAGATTCGGCGCTTGGCGTCACTAGTTACAGAGAGAAAATGGGCAGTCTCGAGTCAAAGGCGGGGTGGATATCTTATCCATGAGCCGACGGGAGCTTCCTGCGTTGAAGTTACTACTTGGATCTAGAGAGGATGGGAGAGGGGGCTTTTGTATGAGTGGATGATCAACTAGACCAACACCGACTCACGAAAGCTTCCTTGGGATCAGTCATAACTCAATCAAGCTGCCGGCTCAGGATTAGTGCGCCCGCTGGAACGTGTAGTGATTAGATGAGATTAATTGCTCGTGTACTTGAATGCAGTGGAATGTCGTATATCCCTGTGCTCAGTTTGATCACTAATAATTTGGGGATTGGAGACTAAAGTAGGTTATCTGAACATACATACAGTACATCAATATAATCTGGTGTTGCACTGCGCCTTGCATAAAGTTAAGGCCGAATTGCATCTCTATATATTATCTGAGGTTTGCTCTTACTCTGCTCGTAGAAAAGAGGCTGTACCTTTCTATCAACTCAGGTGAATACCATGCTTCCTTGGTATTTCATACATGCTAGGTCGACTTTCAGCATTTTGTAGAATTAGTACTCAACCTGTTGTGAGTATATTAGTAGTAAAGCCAACCCTTTTCATTAACAGCCGTTAGCTCAACATCTTCACCTTTCCCAATGGCTCAGATGTACACAAATTTTGCCAACTAGGTACCTATTTTCTACGGGGTCTAACTAACGATTTCTCTGTAAGTCATGCCTCGTGATTATTTATGCCTCTATGTGCAACCTGTCTCACGGGAAAATCAGTTACCCTGAAGTTCGCCGTTTTCAGAAACCATCAACGATTCTCCGTCAAGCTAATTTGAATTTTCATATCAATTGATCACTGGTTGTGTATGTATATTTTATTTTTGGGTTTAGTTATCTAGAGAACCATGTACATGTATATACATGGGGTATCTATACTGCTTGGTAAAGGCAGCAATTGTGCCACTGAGGCAGATAAACCTTCTCTGAATTTGACTTCTGTGATGCTGGCCTACTATAGGGGCCTCACTGTTTAAGCCTTTATTTGAAAAGTTAAAAGCTTGATGCCTCGTACAAGGCTGACGGCAAGGGAAAAAAAAGTATATATTGTCGGCAAAGGCTCAATTGATATGCCTATATTGCACCACACAGGCGATGCGTTCATACACGGTTTATGATACCAGGGTGTGTGTTTCTTAACGCCCTTCAAGCTTCCCATCTACTAACAACTCTTCCTCGTAGAGTCAAAATTTAAAAGCAGGACATTTGAAACCGGAACCCGTAGTCATAACCCAACAAAATAGTGGATTGGGTTTTTTTCTTTTTTTCGTATCAAAGGTACGTTATATTGCTCACCGGCTTGTACCCTTCTCGTCGCGTCTCCCTTACTCAAAACACAGATACAAAAGATTCAAGGAAAGCTGAAAGATGCTGTCTAAGCGGAGGCTTTTTGTCTCACCAGCTTGTTCCCGTCACTTCAATTCGGGCGCTGGCCCAATTCATACTCGGCTATCGAGCCTAGAACCTGTGCGATTTGGCCTTGGCTCGATAGACAGTGTAGCCAACATAAGCACCGCCAGCAACAATGATGAACAGGATAATTTTGGTAAAGAACCATGTCCAGCTACCGCCCTGCTTGTTTCCGTTGGTGGTCTTGCCGGTGCCCTTGCGTCCCTTGTTCTTAGTGCCAGATGACTTGCCAGTGTTGCTGGTGCCAGGCTGAGTGTAAAGGTTCTTGGCCGCCACGGAAATGATATCGTGGTTGTCGCTGAGCTCACCAGTTTCAGCAGTGAAACCAACATAGGCAATGTTAGGAATGGCCGGGGGATCCTCGAGGTCGAAGCATGTCTGCCACTCATCCTCAACCTTGTACTGGAGCTCTAGCTTGAGTTGTTTGTCCTGGAAGTAGGTGAGGCGCATCTTGGTAGGGACACTGGCATGTCGAATACCACGCGCAGAGCAGCCAGCGAGCTCAGTGTGCTTTCCATCGTTTGATTTGTCGTAAGAGGTCTTGCCATCGCCATACATGGCCATGACATAGGGGAAGACAACGCCGGGACGGTTGTTCTTGTAAGTGTCGATGAAGACTCCGAGGCCTTCGAAGTTATCGGGTCCTCCAAAGACAGTACCCTGTTGCGCGCGCTGGCGGGTAATCCACATGGCAAAACCGTCTCCGTAGAGCTGGTTCTTGCCCGAGATCTTGAATTCAACCTCGACCTGCCAGTTTGTCGCAGTGAGGGGAACTCGTGAGTACATCCACCCTGACTGCGATGGACGATCCGAAGTAAGTCGAATGTACCTATAACAAGTCAACCCTTATCCGAAGTATACCGTTGTCAGCGAATTGAGGATGCATACGAATCGGTTCGAATAATGGTGTCTCCGCCAAAGTCGTACCAGCGGCTTTGCATGTCCGAGTCCAGGTAGGGCTGTCGAGTAAAGGAGTTAATTGATCTGTCGATCTGTGAATGCCTGCTCGCGTGCGCCTCAACTAACCTGGGTCAAGGAATGTGTCCTGAGCTAGAGAGTGAAGAATATTAGCAAAGAAGCTCAAGATGATCAGCCAGGAGAAGGCACGGGCACATACCGAAATACTCCTGATATTATCATCAAGATCATCAGCGCGGGCAGTCCATGCAAGCGCACCGAGGAGCGCTGCTGATAGTGATGGGAACCGCATGATGAAGCTATATTATGATGGTGTCTCTTCCCTGCTTTCTTCTCTCGTACAGGGCCAATTAGAGCTGGCTCGATATGGGCGCAAACCGCTCTGGGATGCGGCAACAAAGTCGTGAGGTCTGGTACTAGAGTAGGAAGAATTGACCACAGTGGTCGTTGTCAAACTTGTTGTGACGTTGCGGATAAATGTAGGGGGTTGTTAATCGGGACAACCTAGGAGCTAGCACAAGTGTCCTCTTCCTCTAGACTCTGCCTATGGCCGAAACGATTTTAGGTGAGTGCTCCCCACTGCAGGTACTTTCCCACTCTGGACGCTGGAACCCCTGCCACTTGACCCTTGGTGAAACTCTAAAGCCACAATAGCCACATT